ACACATAAATGATATCATTAAATATCCCAAGTCATAGCATTGTCAATAATGAAAATTGACTATATGTAGTTAGACTAGTGAGTGCTATGCTCATGCTATATGATATCGATAAGAGATCTCACACCTATTGGCATGATGATGTCTAAGCAAGCACTTACATAATTTATGTTAGAGAACATATCATTGGACTTGACTGTCTTGAGAATCCATTTGGTTTGGTCTATGGGAATCCCATATGAGATAGGTACAAATGGTCCTTAGACTTAAAGTCTTCACGATTATCTCATTAAAGGATTTATACACTTTGACACTCGTTTCGATGGATCCGGTAAAGGGTTGTATGTGGACAATTCATTGGGTGTACTAGGAATTTAATGGAGGTAGGTGTATGACTAAGATAGGACATGTCATTCCTTGTATGCTGAAGGAGTTATCATATTATACTTCTATGAATGTTTACTCAAGAAATCTATGACCATAGTAGGAGTACACTAATATAGCATAGTTGATTTACTCCAAGAGCTAAGACATTTAGGAATCGAGAAAACTTATGTGATTATAATTGAACAAGACATATAACCGGGTTCGAGATTACACTCGTGATAAGTTGACATGAGGATTGAATTGTATGATAACCATGCTCGTAAAAAGTAATAATGAATTAATTAATCCTTCTAGAAAATTGGTTAGTTATGATGCCTTACTAGAGGCCAATCTTAATTTATGTATCAAGAGATAATAGATTAGTCTTTTGTTCTTGATACAATACCAACATATCTACGAGTCTATTGAGTCACACGCATAAGTTTAAGTATCCATATGATTAAAGAGAAGCAAAGACAATGGAGAAAGTTTCTAATTTTGAAAATTTTCTATTTTGGAAAAGGTTTTCAAAAATGAAAAGTTTCTTATTTTAGAAATCAGTTTTCTAATTTGGAAGTTGGTTTCAAATTTAAAAGTAAATAACTCGAAATGAAAATGAGTTTCCTAATTTAGGTTAAATGGTATTTTGGGATATTATTTCCTAATGTGGGTCGCCTAAAATTATCTAAGATTATTTATTTAGATTGTCCAAATAAATTAATTGGGTCGAATCCAATAGGTTTAATTAAAAGCCTAAAGATATTTTGATAGGAGGATAAATATCAAGCTTATTGGATAAGAATGAATGTTTTAAAGATAAAAATAAAAAATTTCATATATAAAATAACTCCTTATCATTGGAGGATTATGAAGCAACAACTTAGAGTCTTTAAGAGACTCATTGCCGCCCTTCCTTGTCCTTGAAGGATAAGGAAGTATCTCCTATAAATATATGAGAGAGAGAGGTGCGGCACAAGTAAGAAAATTACGGGGAAGAAATTCGGTAAAGAGAAAAAATCTTTTTATGGTACACGACAAAAACAAAATAAAAGGAGAAAATAGCTTTCTCCTAATACACGCCACTTTTCCTCTCCTTTAAGGTTGTCGTAAACTTGCCTGGATTAAATTTCTATAAGAAATACTACACAAATCGGGAAGGTGGAGCTAACACTCTATCAATTTTGAGTCGCTTCTTTGTGGGTGCTTGGACTGCGTGGATTATCAATAAAGGTCGAACGCTTTGATAACTTTTTCCGCTAAAGAATTTAGATCTTCGCTATAAGAGATACTTCTCTATTCATTGCTTTAATTCATGTATATATAGTTAGTTGATTTAACGAGCATGATCTTAGATCCTTTAAATAGAGAAATTTTTTTATTTATTCCACACCTTCATATGATGTATGATCCATCAATATACATATTGAATACTTATATGTCTTAACTTACTATTATAAATGTTATTATAAGCCCTAGACATAATTGTCTCACTCGTCACAATACTATTAAATTTAACGAATTGAATTTAGATTATATCCAAAAGTTTTAAGCTTTATGGTGTGTGGTACATTCAACATCTTTTATATTGATTTATATTTTTTTTACATTTATTTAATATGAGATATATTCACTAACATTCCTTTCAATTACAACCCATCTTTTTAAGATTTATGAAATGGTTTGAGTTCCAAAACCTTTGTTGTATTGTTGGGCCTTCTTAAGGCTCGATATCATATTAAATAAAATATAGTTAAAATTGAGTTACTTGTAAAAAAATTAAGTTTTGTGATGTATGATTTTTCTCAACTTTATATATTACTCATCTATTGTTTAATTATTAATTAGATGTGAGATAGATTGTCTAACACTCGTTTCTCACTTGTTGCTAGCTTGAGTCGTAAAGGACTTAGGCTTGTTAGGTCAGTTGGGCTTCTTTAAGACTTTGTTATCATACTAAATTTGATAGTTAGTTGAGTTAGATTTCTATTTAAAATATTTAAGTGTCAATAAATAAGTAATATATGAAATTGAGAACCACTATAATACTTAAGTCTTTTGGATAAAACTCAAACTCAATTATAATCATTATGCTTTTTGGTCTATGCAACCATACTATAAATTCTATTGTATAGTAGAATGTTAGATGCTAGTTTGCTTTTAAGAGGCTTAAGATATTGTGCCCCCTCCTCCAAAAGTAAAAGTCTATTCCATAGTAAAATGTGAGATGCAAATTTGTTTTTTCAAAGGCCTAAGATATTGTGGCTACTCCAAAAGTAAAATCCATAGAGTTTCATTATATCATTTCAAGTATATAAATATGGACCCTTTATTACATAAAGATATATACACATCAAATACGAGTTTTCCTCATTCTTTTAAATAGTTTAGAAGTTTAATTGTAGCATAGATGTGTTGTCTTTATATACCAAATAAGCACTTTAAAAACCATATTTCTTAAATCTCTAAACCAATTATTTTTATGATTTTTTTCTCCATGTCAAATTACTCCAAAAAGGACTATTTTAGTGGCCTCTATCCCAAGTTGTGACAATATCGCTTAGTGCTTCAACGAACATCTTTTGAATCCATTTCCATTCGAGTGCACTAACCTTGGCCAAGTGATCCCAATCCAAAGGGTCAATGACATGACATGTGCCAATATAATTACTTAAGTTTTTAATGTCCTTATATGTTAAAATGATTTAATTATATTCATGTTATTTAAACAAGTTTCTAACTTATCCTTTCAATCAATTTTTTTGATCAAACCGCATGAAAATGCCATATGACTTGCACTTAATTTTTTTTTTTAACAAAAATACTCCTCTTAGTTTAACATATTAAGTTTTCAATACATTTCTATATAATAGATTGAGTCTCCAATCCGTCCTTAATGCCTCGTGTTCTTCAACAATTATGTAATTAAAAAATTACACAATTATAATATAAATGATTGTTAATCGAGTCTCTTAAGCATGTAATTACAAAACAAATAATTATGTAATTAAAATCTTTATAATTATAATTTAAATAATTGTTAATTAGTCTCTTAAGCATATAATTAAAAAAATTATACAAATTAAATGATTAAGAGACCGATTAACAATCATTTAAATTATAATTATGTATTTTTAATTTACATATTTATTTATTTATTTATATTCTTAATAAACTAATTAACAATTATTTAAATTATAATTATTTAGTTTTTTTAATCCAATCAATGATATTTATATCATTTAGTCATTTTCGCACGCGATTCACATGTTTTCTTTTATAAAGATAATTTAATATATTAGTAAATACTACATCAATTTGTTCCATATCATACATGAATGGATTATTATTATAATAATAATAATAGTATAATAGACTCTTTAATATTAAAAATACGTTAAATGACAATCTCTTGAACACTTACATACTAACATATACTAATTATTTTTATATATTTTTAATTAATAAAAAATCCACTATAGTGCAATATATCATTAGAAAAATTATTAACAATAATATAATTGACTCTTTAACACTAACGATATATTGAAGACTCAACTTATCATATAAGAACAGATTATAAACTTAACATGTTAAGTTGAGATGAATATTTTTATAAAAAAAAATTTATATGTAGGTCATTTTTTTCATATAGAAAAATTAAAAAATTATTTAAATAAAATGAACGTGAACATAATATATAAGGACATAAAGACATCGAAAACTCAATATATTATGCAAAAACAAATCAGACCATAGATATTATATAAAAATATATCGAACCATTAACTCCGATCCAAGAGGTGATACCTAAAGTGCTATTTGACTAGTTATTACTAAACTGTAGTGCTGGTAACTGAAAAAAACACATCAAGAAGAGTAAGTAACCTGCTATATCAGGCAAGTTAACGGGGATACAGGCGTCCCGACAAGCCAGCCGCGTTCCAGCTACTGAGCAAACACGTTACACAAAAAGTCAGTAAAAGGTCCCACTCCACTCCATACATTCTTACATACTCTCTCACACCGAAAACCCAGAAATTTCAATCAAACCAATCAAATCCCTCAATTGCCCTATTTTTAGGCGATTCCATCTTGTTTCTGTGCTCATAACAACACCAGATCAAAACCCAATTAATCATTATCATAATTTAACCGCTAATTAAACTTAAGAATATCGGCTCATCCCCAAAAAGCATCCAAAAAAAGCACAACAGCCACCTCATAAGAAGGAAAGTTGAAAGAAAAAGGCAACCACTCAAACCCGATTAGACGATTGATTTATTTTATTTTTCTCTCGTTTTCCCCTTCTTAAGTCCATATATATACACATATATATATACACGACACTTCAAAAATTGAAAAAAAAATAAAAAAAAACAAAATTAAATAATAGGATATTTATTGGTGAATGGTAAGATTGGAATGTTTTGCAAATTAAAAGCGCAAAATCAGTAAATTTCAAATTATAGAAACATAAGGGGAAGATAGAGGAGTGAATATAGAGGGGCAAAAATGAAATTTTACAAAAAGCAAGCAAAACAGCATTTTATCAGATAGATAAATAACAGTGTACATAGCGTGTACATAGCGAGACACTCAGACGAACAAACGCAGCAGCAGCAAAAGCGATAAAAAAAATGGCGGTCTCAGTCTCCATTTTAGCTGTCATCACTTCTCTTCACCTCATAGCCTTCGTCCTCGCCATCGGCGCTGAAAGCCGCCGCAGCACGGTAACTAATTCCATCTCTTTCTCTCGATTTTTGAGTTTTTTGTTTTTTTAATCCGTCCTGTTAATTTTAATTTTAATTTTAATTTTTTTCGTGTATTCTGTGAGAAGGCTAAGGTGGTGCCTGACCAGTACGATGAGAGGACTTACTGTGTGTACGATACGGACGCGTCTACGGTGTACGGACTAGCGGCGTTTGGGTTGTTACTTATTAGCCAAATGATTGTTAACGGCGTTACCAGGTGTCTCTGCTTTGGTAAAGGCCTTGTTACTGGAAGCTGCTCCACTACTTGTGCCATCATCTTCTTCATCTTTTCCTGGTAAAATAAAGTTACCATTTTCTCCCTCCCATCTCTTCAAATTCCTTGTCTTTATTTTCTTTGTCTATCATCGATCTTTTTATTTATTTATTTTTAATTATTGAGTATCATTAATTTTAACGGTCTAGATCAGTCCTTTAATTGTGTATGATTGCTAATTGGGTCCCATTTCAAAATTATTCTTCCACCAACAAACGAAGCGAAAATTTTCGAATATTTGCAGCACTCTTTCGTTTGAACTTGTGGGCTGTTAAGTGGTAACATGTGAACTAAGCAACAAAATTAGGAAATATGTTAATCTTCAAAATGATTACTTTATTATTATTACTATTGAATTAAAATTACTATATTGAAATCTTCCTAATAATATTTGTTAGTGATTAATCTGCATTTAATTAAATCCTTAGGCTATAGAGTCCATTTTCAACTTTGGGCTTTCAAGTTTCAATCTAGGCATGGTAGTCTTTGGCATTTGTCCTTTTGGGAGTTGGTAACTAACCCACTATCTTGACTTTGTGAATATGAGTTGTAAAAAAAGAAGCTTGAAGTAACACCTTCTAGTGAGAACTCTATGAATAAGAAATCCCCTTTGCCCTAATTATTAATCAAATAATGGTATTTTACAGGAAAATTGTAAGCCATCAGATTGATGGAAACCATCAATAACTCCCACATGGATCACGTGATTGGATGGCTTTCAATTTTTCTTGTAGTCTTATTTGTTATTTTTTCTTGTGAACTAGCATTACTCTTAATTTCTCTACCTAAATGTTAAGGAGCTTGGAAGTTGGTAGGATGTATATTTCAGAGGTTTTTCGGTTGTAACAACCTGCAGAACCATTTGCTTTTTATGCCCGCCAATTTTAGCACATTTGAATGGCATATAAATGATGCTGCTCTCCTCCAAAATGGCATTCCTATTTGTCTGAATTTGCTAATTATTTGGATTTATTATTGGTGTGAAATTAAGAATTTTAGCAATGAAATTTTCAGGGTAAGCTTTTTGGGAGCTGAGGCATGCTTATTAGCTGGATCAGCAAGGAATGCATATCATACCAAGTACCGAGGATTCCTTGGTCAGAAGGACCTGTCATGTGCCACCCTCCGCAAAGGAGTCTTTGCTGCAGGTGCAGCTCTTACATTATTGTCATTGATAGGATCATTCCTTTACTATTGGGCTCACTCGAGGGCTGATACCGGTGGATGGGAGAAGCACCGGAACGAAGGCGTTGGGATGACCAGTTCAAGTTACCCACAGCAGCAACAAACGAGTGAATTTGAGAAGGCTTAATTATGATTTGCTTAGGTCAATTTCTACAGTTTTTGCGGCTTATCATTGGGGAAAGATGGATATAGGAAAATGAAATGGTGTTAGAGAGCTACAAGCTCGCGTATGTTATCTTATATCATGTCTGGTGTAAAATGTGTAGTGTTTTTTCTGTGTATATTTGTTGTGCACTTCATAGCACTGCCTGCACGAATTATGTTAGGATGGTCTTCTTTGATCATATATACTGGTCGCTTGCACTCCATGTGATGATTTGGCATTATAGTTGTATTAAGATCACCTCTGCCTTTCTCCTGCTATGGCCCTTGATTCATCCACACTTCCTTAGTTTACAAATATTTCTATGCTCGTTGCTTTTGTAATATTCCAAGCCATGCTCGTCAAAAGTTTTGAAGTGGTGTGGTTCCAAGTAGCAGGGTGAGACAGTAGTAGGGCTACTCGTTGTGCAGCTCTAATATCCAATGGATGTTCTGATGAATCTAGAAGGTAGTGAATCTAAAGATTAGGGAGTAGAGCAGGGCAACGATAAATCCAATCGGCTCCCAGGTACCTAACTTTATTATCTTGTTTGAGTGGTTTAATGGACTTGTTATTGGATTTTGACATTTCTTCCCGTAGAAGATGCCAACCAAAAACTCATTATTGCTTAGGAGATTACAAAGAACAACGCAGAAGGAAGTCTCGATTGACTGAGAAGTTTGAAGATTGGATGAAGAATAATTGCCACAAATTTAAAATGTCAGGGATCCAAGTGTCTTCTTAACCATGAGGTTAGATAGGAAATAAATTGAAACCACCACGACCTTGTAACGTTGAACATTGTTTTCTGCGTTGTACACCGGTCTGTATATAATAGCTTTTCAAATTATTTCTTTACTTGTGACAATTTCATTCACCTCTTCAAGATCAGATGTTTGCGAGTGGCTATCGACCATCGTTTTGAAGGCAAGTTGCTTCTACCCAAAATGTTGGGAGATAAAAATCGTGCCGATTACAGTTTCTGAACCACATTCAGCCCCCTTTATGATTCAATTGAGTTCAAAGAAGTGGACCAGCCCAGAGCATAAACTTCATGCCAATCTTATCATTTTCTAGTCCTCGTTTTTTTTTGAACCCCACTTCCAGACCTCGTTGTGACTAACTAATTCGTACCGAAATTTGCATGGTCGAGTAAATAACTGAGTTCTTATATAATGAGGCTTGCTATGCAGTGAGTTCCTAAGAGGGATATACTATTATGACATGGACATGTGCAATCGCAACTCTTTTAAGTTCTAGTCTTCTTAAAGTGGCTTAATTAACTCAACAAAATATACTAACTCTAGCACGACGGCATTTAGTAGTACAAAGAGCTTAGGGGGGCCACAAATGATAGCATTTGCTCATGGGCTTAACTCAAGCGGGTTACAAGTGACCACAGCTATAGATACTTGGGTCTCCTCCGCTAGCAACAGAACAAGCACAACATGGAAGGTAAGAGATGAAGTCTTCTTCATTTTCACCGGCCAAAGAAAGGAGTGTGTTTGTGGGGTTGGGACAGGCAAGGTAGAGTTCTTCTTCACAATTTATAGGGATCCAATTGGAGGTTCTTGTGTAGTGTAACTCAGCTTGTATTTCTTAATTGAACATAGAGATTTTTTTTTTTTTTTTTTTCACTTTCACGATTTGCCTTGTGACTAGTCAGAAAAGAGTGGGAACTTAAAGACGAATATTAGCATTCAAGTTGATTTGGTGCGCTTAGTCTCGATATCAAGGCCACTTTGTTTCTTTATTTTTTTTGTTTTAATTACTGATCAATTGTTCTTAGTAATAGATGACTAGGGACCCAGTATTTGCTTTCCATCGCTTCCCGAGGCTTTGTCAAATTCTGCACTGCTTTCCCTTTTGACTATTTTTTTTTCCCCAGATTATAATGTGTTTGTGATAATTTTCTAGAATTTTTTTTACTCGTTTCCGAAAAACAGCATATGATATCCATAGGTTACATCTTGGATGTGAAAAGATTGATTCTTTTCGGGTTTGGGTCTGTATATAAAAAAAATCTTTCTTCAGAATACATTTACCTTGTATCTTAGGAAAAAAAAACACACACACACATTTTGCAACCTCCTCAATAATTCCGAATGACATCATAGATGTTCGACGCAAAAGAAGTATCTTTCTTAACCTTCTTTTCATTAATCTTTAATTTCATTAAAGGGTTATTGTTCATTTGAAATAAAGACATGAAAAGCCCATAATAACGTCACTCGACGTTGATAGGAGTAGAATTTTGACAGCCATCAATCAAAGGTATGCTTTTTCTGTTCTTCATTGCCCCGCTTCATTCATCTTAATTAGTGGCAGATATTGAGAAAATTTTGAGGTGGCGGCAAAACAAAATGTGAGATAAAAATTATGTTTATTGGTTACAGTAATCAATTCAAGCCTTTCAAGGTCAATTCTTTTTATTATTATTATTATTGGAAGGTTTGTTGGATTTTGAACTTTATAACGAGATTATTTTTTTTTTCATTTTATACTAATCAAATAAGCTAAATTTATTAAAACTATAAAAAAAACTACCAAATATCAAATCGTTAAATTATACCTGTTTATTTTTTAACTTTAATTCTTTCCATTTCGTTCAAGTCACCAAAAATTGAAGTTTCGCTGCTTGAAATTGAAGACCGCACATTATTCTCAGAATGTTAGATAACTTGTTTTAAAAATCATATATCACCTTTACGTATAAAATGGGAAAATAATTTTCCCTAATTGGACTAGAGGAAATTTCATCTCACATATACATGTTAGTTGTTATAGCATGACCTGTCATGTGCAATTAGTGTTAATTATGTATTAAAAACAATCTTGAAAGCTCTCACTTTATTTTTTTAGGGAAATGTCCAGTGTGATTTTTTTTATATAAAAGAAATCTTCTGTTTGTCATGTGTTTTTACATATGATTGATATATCTATAGAACTCATTATGATTTTCGATATAATATTAAGTCATGATTATGTTAATTTTGACAACAAAAAAAAAATTAACAAAATGTTAAATTGGAAACTCAATCATTTTATAAAAATAAAATTAACTCAATTAAAGATATAAATTCATATTGAATACTCATCTTATAATATAAGACAAATTAAGCTATTTTCACGAATGTTTTACATAAATTAACTTGCTCCCTCACATATGTGTCTAGGTAGGTAAAAATTATTTTCCATAAAATTTGAAGTAAAGGAACATTATTTATAAGCTTTCATTTTTAAATTGAAAAGGAGGATATGGTTTATTGTATAAATTATAAATTAATCCTTCTAGTTTTGAGAAACGAATTAACTATTCTCCCTTATTTTATAGCTAATTATTGTTATTTTAACCATTGTTGATCATGCATGTTTTGTTTTATTTTACCATATTTTAACAAATATCTTCTTTTCTCATCAATAAGTCCATAATATTTATTTATTTTATTATTCTATTACTTTTTAAAATAAAAAATAAAAAATAAAAAAGCGTATAAAATGAAAAAAAGAGATTAAATAATTAATCTTTAAAACATAAGAGACTAATTAATTCATTTCTCAAAAACTAGATAAACTAATATACAATTTACTCTTATTTTCCACACGGAGTCAACGAAATTAGAGTAAAAAAAATACACTAAAGAAATTTTGGAGATTTGGATCTTTTTATGTTCTTAAAAGAACATAGTGGTCATGTTTCAAATCTTATCATTGATTTTGAATTCAATGATTATGATTCGATAAGAAAAATAAAATATTAAAAAATTGATGTTTATTTTACTATACACTAAATCATAATCATTTAATTTAAATTTAATGATATAAATTTAATAAACATAAGGATCATTCTCCTTTGAAAACACGAGAAGCTTGGACCGCTCCTGGTTTTGTAACCAATGAGAATTTTGCTTTAGGTAATGTGTTGTCCTCTCCTCCACTTAGATTTTATAACGTATTTATTCTTCAATTAGTAATGAATTGTTAGATTGTTTATTTTTAAAATACACTTTGCCCTTTTTCACCTCCGTTTCAGAAACTTTTTTAACAAAAAATTTGACTAAACCCATTAGTTATGCATTGTGTTTTCATTAATTCGTCAAAAAACTCATATTGTTAATTCGATTAATTGAACATTTGTATTTTTTATTTTAATCAATTGAATATAATTTATCTAAATTGAAAACAAAACTATTCAATATGGAAGGTGGAATGAGTGACAATATTAATAGAAATAGAGTTGATAATAATGAATTGACTAAGATAAATTTTTAATTTTTTTAAATTATATTTAATTGCTGAAATAAAAAATATACGAAAGATCTTTTTTTTTTTTTTTTAGAAACATAAGGCATAAATTATAGATTTTGAAAAAAAAAATTATATAATACATCATGGTCTAGTTCGATTTGACTTTTAAAATAATACAAAAAGAAAATGAGATTGAAAAAAAAAAAAGAAAGAAACAATACAACCCTTATTTTTTCAAAAGGCGAAATTGTGAACGCAAAGTTTTTAGAAAGATAAGAAATCACAAACAACTTTTTTCGTAAGATGAATATGTATTTTCAAAATATTAATTTTTTATTTCATTTAGTAAATACAATTTTTACTTTCTTAATGATTTTTTTTAAAAAAAAATATATAAACAAATACAATCTTAAAAAATAATTCTTCGCTACAGAAATCAACATGCAATTAACTCAAGAGATGGCACCAACTCTGATTGGTCAAGATCAAAGATTTTGCTTCGACCATAAAAGTAATATTCATATCCTACTATGCCTCTGCTGAAAGGGGAAGCGACGGAGCGTTTTTTTTTGTTCAGACTATTAAAAGGCACATCGTAACTACTGCAAATTTTTGGCCTTTCGGGCCCCGTTCTGTACCTTTTTTTTTTTTTTTTGATAGAAAAGATTTTAAAGCTTTTGATTCCAATTGCACGACACAAATAAAAAGTCTAACTTCGTAACGATGATGAAAATAAACTGCAAATTAATTATAATTAACAAGTCTAATACGTATCTTCATGTTATCCGCCTTATGTAAATTCATCCTATATATATATTCTCTCTTAATAAAATATAAATTACCTTAAAATAATTAGCATAATCTGTGTTGAAATTCAATTTGATGCATGCATGTCATCTTTATATTTCAATGTTCATAGTTGTTTCCTCCATGATTAAAAAAAATGATATTTAAGATTTAAATCTTTAATTCATAAAATTTGATATGAAATAATTGATAATATTCCACCACATGTTATATTCGTAAATTGACATTAATTTTTAATCTGCATGCCCGATCTCTTCCAAGGAGGAGGAAGATCTTGTGCGCGCATGGATCGTTGAACTAATTAAATTAATTTGAACTTATCGTGTGTGAAAGGCATTTACTTTCCAAGCCATATATAGTACCTTTATTCAATGTCATCACTACTTATTTCTATTCTAAGCTTAAAATTGATAGAATTGGTATAGAATGATAATTGACACAATACTGAAAATCGTAAAATAGCAACTTAATTTGTGGAATATCAGGGCTAGCTGCGTTGCTGAGATTTTTTTTTTCTTTGGTGAATTAGATTAAGCTAGCTAGTAGCATCCAACACAGATATGAGAAATATGCATGCTGTCTTTGGAGGAGGAAAGGGTAATCTTTCCCCCTTAATTACTCTTTTTTTTTTTTTTTTTTTTTTGGGTTCCTGTGTAAGAGGGAGCAGTATAAAAGTATAAAAATGTGAAGTAAGATTAATTTCTCTAAGGTGTGTAGTTTGGTTCCCTTTTGTAGTTGCTGACATATTGTTGTGGAAGAACAAGATATTATCAGGAGGAATCCTAGGGGGTGTTACTGCAATCTGGGTTCTGTTTGGAATTGCAGGGTACCCTTTTGTTACTTTTTTTTGTTACTTTCTCATCCTTTCGATGATCATCCTCCTCACATGGTCTAAGAGTGCAGGACTCATCAAAAGGTAACAACTCTTAGAATATTTTAAAATCTATTATTGCCTGTTTAAGATCCTTACATTTTTTAGATTATTCTATTCTCCCGATAAATGGAATCATCTTTGTTACAAATACAGGGAACAAAATTTGGTTATCACTTTTTTTTTCCTCCCTCCCTCTATACTTCGTTCCTAGCAAGGTTGTACTTTAATTTGAAATTTTTATATGCATTGATTTGTTCATCGATTCAGGAATCCTCCTACTTTTAACGATATACGGTTGCCAGAATCAGTTTTTATGTTCTTCTCTGATCAAATCAACCAGACATTACTTGCATTTTACAATACTTCCGTGGGCGAGAGAGGTTTAAAAACCTTTTTCGTGGTATATAAGTTTCTTATCTACTGACCATTTTCATTTTCTACATTTATCTATTTTAATTATAGATTTAATTCCTAATTAATTATGCGTTTGATTTTCAGACATTAGCCGGGCTATACAGCTTGTCATTTGTTGGATCTCTATTCAGCACTATGACCTTTACATACCTTGGTAAGACCATGGAGTTTCTCCTTTTCTCTCTCTCTCTTTATTTATTTATTTATTTTATTATTATTATTTTTTTTTAACTTGATTGGATTTGTGTTTTCATTTATTCCTGGAAGTCTTTGCCTGCTGTGCAACATTACCAGCTTTATATGAGCAAAATAAGATGCAGTTGGATGAGATTTTTGGGCAAAGCTACCGAGAACTAAACAACTCATTTAGAGATTTCAGGTCCAAACTTGTTGACAAGATTCCAAGAGGAAAAGATGACTAGCTAGCTTGCCAGAATTTGCTAGCTCTCCAAATGATTAATAGAATGCAAAAATCTCTCAAGAAATCTTAGCACGTATTGTTCTAGCTTGATATCCCCTTCTTTAATTGACTTATGATGAAAAGATTCATGAAACAGCTAATAATCACAAATTTAAGCTACAGAAAGTAACTGAATAGAGTGTATCAGTAATAAATTTGAGGAGTTCATTGTATAATTCCATTTTCTGCATTTTCAGAGGTAAATAAAGGACCCGAATAGTATGATACAGGATTGTTGTGGAACTATTTACTTGATTCATTCCTGTCCTTCAAAGTCAACTTTGCCTGCAATGCTTGTTCTAGAGATCTTCCTTCCTTTTTCAATCTTATGTTCATGAACTTACAAGAGAAACCATAAGTTCTTCCATTGTCATCTTTTTACTCTTCTATTTCTACGGTAACATGATCAAATTTTGAGTCCAAAGACCTCAATACTTTCTCCAGCACCCGAACATCATCGATGTCCTCTTCAATTTATCTCATCTGATGTATAATAAAAATTACTTTTGTTGTAAAGTAATCATAAATGGATTATGTAGTTTCCTTATTTAGCCTTTCAAATTCTGCTCTCAAAGATTGCGACCGTACCTCTTCACTTCGTCTACACCACTAAAGGATTCACTTAGAATCTCTCATGCCTCTTTTGAAGTTTTTGCTGAATGAGACATGCTAAGCATTGCCATTCCTGGAATTGGCCTCATGAGTACATGTGGAGAAAATTGGGGAATCGGTACAGTTGGAATTTCAGCCAGTTGCATATATGAGGCCTGGCACATTGCTCCTGCAACCATGGACAGCATCTGATGGACAGTAAAAGAAACAGGTTAATAGAAGATAAGGCTTGAAGAACTGCAATAGGAGGCATTACAGAGAAAGTGATTACTTCAAGTCGAAGGCTTTAAGGTATTCAACAGCATCTTCTAGCATTGAAGCTCGGTCCTGCTGAAATCAGTAAGGAAATTCTGATTGTATGGATGTAATTAGACTGTATTGCCAAGAAACAGAAACAGAAACAAAAAATCTGGAGAAATGCATCAAAACAGTCAGGAATTCTCACACAGACCAACAATAATTAACAATTAAATTATTGTTTCAGCAAAAAGAAACATAATACCATGTCATCCAGTAATAATAGCTACAGCCATTTAAAGATGAAAGAGTGGCAACCACTTAAATAAAAAAATCTTTTATATATGCTTTTCAGAACAACCCATTTGTAAAAGCTACCAGCTTAACCCTGTAAACTCTTCCTTCAGCAGCTTCTGAATAGCCGCGTGAAAGATGAACTAGCTAGAAAGCAAACAAACAGATACCTGCATGTCAAAACTTCAGTGCTCAGTCTGTGATAACACTATTAATTAAACTCTAATTATCTTTGTTTTGGTACTTCGGCTCATTTGTATTTGGGACATGTTGACCAAATAAACTCGCTATGCCTTCCATAAAAATATAAGAGATGAAAGTGCAGCTCAGCTGGACGATAGATGTTTGTGAAGTATAAATTCACTTTTTAACCGACGAGACCTATGTGCCAACAAAAATGTGAGCCAGCCACCATTTTTGGCTTAACCTCTAATGAACTTTTGCTAAAAACCGGGCCTACTTTTAACAATGTAGTGAACACCAAAATTCAGCGTTGAAGCATCTTATGGGCTATTAGCTTCGGTCCCTCAAATAGACCTAGGCTTCAAACTAACGGGGCCTACTTTCAACCGTGGAATGAGACCCATCTGTTTGATGGGTACTCAACCTATGAGCCGAACTATACACTGGTTTCTTCATGCTTGGTGCGATGGCGACAGGCACAATTTCCTTTACTTTATTTATTTTTTAATTTTTAAGCCGTGTTAATCAGTTACTGCAAAATGGTTCGGTTGAATCATTCGCAGGCTACAACAAAATAGTTAAATGGAAAAAATGCACCTTTTACGAACTTGATATAAAGTGTTTGATATTCACAATTAATATTTAGTTACAATTAATATATAGTTCAAGAAATTGTTAACTTGAAATGATGAAAAATATGAAGCATAAATAAAATTAGCTTATAAATATATTTGATCGAAATGACACACCAGTCTATGTGTAAATTGTGTTTGAATTCGAATCAAAAATAGACGTAGTATGTACCAACGGTTAAAACTGGTCTAAGATTGTCTTCATCCAGTTATCTTGGTACCTTAGGATTATTGAACATGATAAGAAAATTGATCTCACTTTCAAGGTTTTAAACTAGCTTACTAAAAAGGAAAAGAAAGAAATTAAAATTATCGTGTTGGACAAAGGAAAGAGAGAGAGAGAGAGAGAGAGTTTCTTCTCCGTACTTAATTTCTTTGCAAATGTTCAGTCCCTGGAAAGGCCCAAATAAAGTGCATGTACTTTCCCTTTTAAGGATTTAGCCACGTCCAGTCCATTGAATATAGAGTATTGTTTTGACAGAACTGCACCATGTCCTTCTATCTCTCTGCTGTTTTTTTCAAAACAAAAAATAACAATAAAAAAAAATTGGTAAGCAAATATGTGTTGGAGGGCCAAATTGGTAAGGGAGATTGTAATCTTGTAGATGAATGCTTACAATCAATAATGCAAAATCTTCACCAAGCTTTAACGATTGTGCAATAGAAATTTTATACCAATCAACTAGTAATTTTTGGCGGCTGATAAATTATTCTAAACTCCATAAAATGTCATGTCATAAACATTTTTAGCCTATGCGTACTTAAAAATATAACCTTATGAGCTGACCTGGACTAGTTAAAAAGGAAGGAAAAGAGGGGATTAAGGTTTTAGTAGTGGCCGCATAAAATTAAAAGCCAGCACTTCCTCGCAAAAATGGAAGAGCAATTTGAAGAGAAGAGAAAGTCTGGTTCTTGTAAAAAATTGAAAAATAAATAGAAGTGAAGTGAAATGTGTAGTATCCCGTTCTAAATGAAGAACAAATCAAAGCGTAATCTGATATGAATATTTCACTTGATTTTTTTTTTATATTAATTTATGTTATGTATATTTTCTTTCTTTATGTTATTAATAGAACTATAACATTTTAATGACTACATTACTTGTAATTTGAATTTTATTTTACTGTATTTTTTTTTGGATTTGATTCTTGGAAGTAGAATTTGATTAGTTTTTGTTTTTAATTTGGTGAATTTTTTAGTTTGTTTAGATAAACAATCTAATAAATGAATTATCTATAGTACTTTTAAAACCTTAAAGTAAGTTCGTATTTTTAATCTATCGTATATTTTTCATTGATTTTATGTTATTTTTTGCCCACAATAGCGGATTGGCAATTTCAAGCAATCGCATAGGTTTGGGTGGTTTAAATCATGTTTTTATTCATTTGTTTCTTGGGGATTGTTTTGGTAAAGACTTGAAGGAAAGAATTGTAGGTAATTTTGTTAAAAAAATACTTAACAGATATCATGTGCAATTTTATTTGAGAAGAATTCTTACTATGAGTAAAAACATATTAACAAACTTGGTTATATTAGAACTCTCAAAATCTAAATATATGAAGTATGAAAATTATAATGATCCTTATTGAATATGCATTGAACATATATCCAAATTCATTTTTTTAAAAAATTTATAGTGAAAAAAAAACAAATAATTAAAATTTTGTGTCCTTTTTTTTTCTTTTTCGGATAAGGTTGAAAAATATCCATTTAATGATAAATTTTGTCCTCATTCTATTGTAATTTAACAATTTCGGATCCTTAATATCAAATTATGGAATTTGAATAACAAATTATTGGTTTTTGTACAAAATTAATCCAATTTTCTTAACTGTCGTTATATGTAATGGTCAACTAGATTTGCAATTACTTGGAATGCCAAAACGACATCATTCCGATATTCTGTTATTAATTATATTTTTTAAAAAACTTTTTTAAAAAAGTTAAAGATTAGAAAAAAAATTAAAATATTTTTAACCTCCCTAGCCTTGAACTTTTTTTTAAAAAAAAACTTCTTTTCTTATAAAATTTTATAAATTATATAAAAAATATTTTTAATCCCTTAATTTTGAATTTTTTTAAACTTTTTATATTTTATAATTTATAAAATTAGGGGGTTAATTGTCCTCATTTTAATTTATAATTTTTTTTAAAGGTTTGAAATTGTGTATTGTTAATTATGTTTTTTTTTATAAAATATTTATACTATCCAATGAGCATTAAAATGTTTATAATATAAATTATAATATTTTATGAATTAAAATGAGCATAATTAAGGGTTGACCTCCTAATTTTATAAATTATAAATTATATAAAATGCTTTTTATAAAATTTTTATGATATTTTATAAGAAAAAAATTAAAAAAAAAGTTCAAGATTATGGGTTATAAATATTTTTAAAATGTTTATTTAAACAAAAATAATTAACAACTTTGACATTCTAAGCAATGATCAACTCGAGTTGACCGTTATATACAATGACAATTAGAATTTATCCAAAATCAATAGTTTAAAGTTTAAATTATTTAACTTGGTACTAAGAATTTGAAATTGTCAAATCTAATACAATGTGGTAAATTTTGGGATTAAACCGAAAAATATCTTTGAGTTGACTATTAAATATAACGACAATAGAAAAATTAGATCAATTTTATTCAAAAAATTAATAGTTTGAAATTTAAATTATTTAATTTGATACTAAGAATTTGAAATTATCAAATTATATACAATATAATGCGGTAAATGTTGTGATTAAACCGAAAAATATCTTTTATTTCAAATTGCAAGATATACATATATAAAACCGAAAGGTAAACAAGCTACTTCAAAATTGTAAGTTTGTAGTGATGGATAAGACTCCACTCCGCCAAATATTAATTATTACAGAAAGTAGAGTTCTATTATCATTTGATGGAGCCTATATTATAGCTCCCTTCATTTTTTATAGGTTCGTTAAGCTCAAGGAAAATTGCTGCAGCTATCTGACCAAAAATATCCCCTTCATCTGACGCAATTAATATCTCCTCATTTAAACAAGGCAAACCATCTACTTCCATAAATTGATGGATTCTTCTATCCGCTACTGTCCCAGGATTGGTAAATCATTTAGTATCTTGATTGAAACATAAAAGATATTGATTTTTTTATCAACCAAATGTTTAAAAATTTAATAGAATCGACTCAATTTAAACTGAACGATGCAGGCATCCGAACTTAGTTTTTGGGATTTTTGTCACTGAATATCGCACACGCATGATTTCTTTATTTTCCCATTGATTACAGACTTATTCAGAAGCCTGAGTTAGATGATCTATCTACTATCTCTCCCTTATTGGTCTGATATTTTTTTCCCTAGAAATACACACATTCAGTAAATATATGCACATGTGCGTGTACCTTCGACAGAAAAAAAAACAAGATATAGCGACAAAACCAAGTTGGAGAGTAGACTTGTAGCCTGCCTGATCTCTTTTCTTTAATGCCAAATAAATTTTTCATTGACCTTGTCAGGCAGATGAAAAATTGATAATCATTTGCCTCCAGTCCTTATCTATTGCAAGAATGACGGAACCTTTGTGAGAAGAGGTCTTTCTATTTTGCTCCTTTATTGATTTCCTTTCTCCTTTATTCGGCACTTTATGTCAACAAAACTGGCTTTGAATTAGATAAGATTTGGACTAGTAGTCCTCTCTTTCCCACACATGGTCTTCCAAGTCGTAATACTTTTATATATCTTGTCCGCGGTTTTCATTTAGATATACAATCTGCCATCTACTGAAAATTAAGGTCACTTATTCTTTGGGAAACCTATAGGCTAGAAAGCTTTTCCTGTTATGACATGGCACTATATGATTGGTACTTAGATTTGATTTTTCTTCTTCTTCTTTTTTTTTTTTCCAGTTTAGCCATCCTAATCTTGCGTCAAGTCAATGCAAAAGGAACAAATTTTTTTTTTTTTTTTTAATGAAATGATAACATGTGTGCTAGCTGAGGAAAGACTTTTAACTGTTCAGGTTAGCGGCCTTAACCATCATTAGGAGGCAAGACGAGAGAGAAAGAGATGGTGAGAATTTGGAACGAGGCAATAAGGGGAGATGGAAAAATCTATGGTGAAGACTTGAGCAGTGCAGCGTTACTATTCTGGGCTGCTCTTATCACTCTTTCCATAATTGCATCTGTCATTTTCTCTTGTGCCGGCGGTGCATCCAAAGACAAAGCCTCTGCTACTGATACTTATGGTTCGACATGTGCTGGGTGCGGTGCCGCCTGTGGTGGATAAGCTGAAGCTCGCTGCTATCTCCATGGCTTTGGTCAGTACAGCATAAGAACAAATTCACTTCCTGCAAATTACCATTGGTGCAGTATACCGACCAAGTTTTTTTTGTTTCTAACAAGTTTCAATCAGGAAAATTGGAAAGCATTTACTATTTTGTTTAAATCATCTTGTAAGAGAGCACAATGTTCAAAAGCATTTTAGTTAAGATAAGGTAGTTAATGCAACAGTTGAAGGTTTTCGTTTCTCTCCTTTTTTTTTTTTTTTTGGATGAGCTGTCTTCTTTTTTAGCTATATTATTATGAGCACCTTAGTTAATGGCCGATTTACCAATAAAAAATAGGTAATTGCATTAGCCATTAGCATGAAGAAATAAACGATAGCCAGAGATCTCTTATCCAGTTTCTTCATCCTAGTGTCTTCAGAACACACTATTTATTTTCGAAACTCCAAAGCATCCCAATTTCTTATCTCAAACCTCACAGGCGTCCCCAATTTCTTCTGGTTATTTGGTCAAAGCTCATCACACATCTCTCCATTTAGCAGCATTCACTGGATTTTATTTTTCTTTTTTGATAGAGGGAAAGCTACGCTTAAGCCTAATAAACTGACAGCGTGGCACTTCTTCTTTACCCATCCAAGACACCACAACTGTAGATTCTACATTAGGTCCATCCAATGCCAAAAATTTTCACATACATCTTCCGCGACATCAGCTTCTATTCGGGATTTCAGATCTACTTTTGAGGACATTCACTATTGATTTATAAGTATTTCTTGAAATGGAACTGGAATAAAGAAAAAAGCTGGCCTGATTTTATTTACTTATTTATTTATTGATGAATCTAGCTTGATATTTTGAACGCACAAATTGTGCAAATTTCATATCTGACTTAAAACTGCATCCTATAAGAGAGACGAGCCATAGACCCACCGCTTTGTTGATCTCTATTCTCGGTCTCAGCATATCTGTTCCATCTTACAAATGAAAAACAGGAAAAAAATTTCGTTAAAGAGTCCGAAATTGGCATCAATCAGCCGTCAAACACTCCCAAGTATTCAATGAACTCAACAAGATCATTCACCTAATCCTGCTTTAAAGACGTCAAACCATATGGAAGACATTTTGATCCTACAGAAACCGCACTGGTGCAAGAGCAATTAAGTAAAGAACAATGTTTAAATCATTCACTGGAAAACGTTAATTGACAAGGCAAAACCCAAACATCAAGATCATCAGCGTAAAACATGCAGTGAAGATAAAATGATAGCAGGATAAGATATCGGTATTGACTTTTCTTTCTTTGCATTTCTATAACATTTTCTTTTCTTTCAACTCTACCAAATTTGTCGATGCATGAATAGTAGGAAAGTACTCTCTATAGGCTATAGGCGCAGTGCAAGATTATCATTTTTTTCCAGTAACAAAGAAGGATGTCATCAGCAGATGTTGCTGCCTGTGAGGTCACAATCCACTGCTCTTTCTTATTTCAGTGGAGGAAATATCCATGCGGAACCTATCAGCAGGTATTGAGATGAACATATCTTTCAACGTCTCTGGAATGTCAAAGTCTTCGAGAACCTGCAGAAAGATCAAACGAACAACATTGGCAAAATTTCCAAAATAAGAAAAAGCGATGAAATTTAACAGATCTTTTATGGGTTTCTAGTATGTGGACACACTTTAAAAACACCATCCACATTACGGCCACCAACAAGGAAAGTGCACCCTGTGCTTTTGCATCCATTGAGTATCTCTAGCATCTTCGCATAATCTCCATCATAATACTTAGGCTGGAAAGCAGAATAAAAATTAAATCAACACAAATCAAAAGGGAAAGAAAATGAACTCACTACTCCTCCATTCTAACACAAAAATAACTTTCCTAGCAAAGAGAGTTGAAATGTGATAGTGCAAGTCAGGTCATAGTTTCCATTGTAACATCAATTTACATTGCAAGTCAGGTCATATTTTCCTGTCCTCATCAAAATTCTGAAGGCATTTCTGTTGAGAGTAGAGTAGGTAGCCCAATAAAACAAAGATGCCGGTCCCTTGCATTATGATGGCCTTCTCTGTCGCTATCGACAGACATAATAATTCCACCCCCAGGTGCAGACTGATGTGTAAAGAACCAAATATCCATGCCCGAAGTTCACTTCACAGTGAAGAAGAAAATAAAAGAGAAAAATGGGCACAATCGTAAACATATACTATAAAATCAGAGTTGAATGAGCATGTTGGCAAGCAAAGTTAAACCACATAGAGAGCGATTTCAAAATTTATCAGTAAAAGGCACATTAGAAAGTCAGAAAAGTATTACAGCATGTTAATCTCCTTCCATACTGATAACTCCATAAACTGACATGAATGCATAGCTTCTACAAAAGGGGCTTTAAAAATGGGGATTGAAGACATGCTTACTTGAATGAATTCTAAGAGAACTGAAAAGACAAGAAATTACATTCAACAGTCAAAGAATAAGAATTGGTTATTGGAAAACCAGTTTTCTAGTTTTCAATTTTGGATTTCAGGATTTAGAACATAGTTTAAGATTCTGAACTTATCCTGCATTTTACTATTTAAATACATTTTCTAGCCTTTCAAATCTAGAAATTTAGGTTAAAAATGCCTCCTATTTTGGTTATGGGAAATAAATTCCAACAGAAATGAGAAAATAAACATGCAAAATGCAAAACTCTCATCTCTGAATAGTCTTCTCTTTATCCTTTATTAAGAACATTTAGCATCACATAAATAAGAAACTGAGATCCATTAACTATACAGTTTAATCATTCATCATGCCCCCTAATAATGTTGATATGTGAACATGTACAAGATGACAATATGCCAGCAAAAAATGTGTTTTCCAAATAAAATCTTGCCAGCAAAATAGAGATTTTTTCCAATGAAGATCTTAAAGACATAATCTTTGTTCATTAGAGATGCAATGAATGCTATCTAGAGATATGGAGTTGTGGATACTGCTGTGCAAACATCAGATGCTGAATATTTTACGCAGACTTGTTGAAATAATAAAGAAAAAAAAGGAGTCTGTATGTCATATTACTGACAGCCTCGTTTCAAAAATAGCCAGTAGCATAAAATACCAAGTGACAATTTAATAAGCAGCATGCACCATTAAAATGCACCAAAATCATCAACTGAAATCATAAATATAACTTGAGCAAATTCAATTAAAGCAATTTCAAGCTCCATACATTAATAAGCCTTGCTGCCGTGTCTGCACCAATCACAAAAGCACTTCCTGGAAAAAGCTCAGCCTTCTTATAGAAATAAGGTTGATTGGAAATAATTATTGTCTTTCCTGCCATTCTAAAAGTGAACTTGTTAGTGGGTCATTCATATAAGTAGCTGGTGACATTTTTCATACACAATTTAGCTAGATATGAGTCCAATTTTTCTTGTTAAGTGAATTTCAACATTCAAACAGAGGACGAATAAATAAAAACTACCACAAACTAAATAAAGTATTGAGGGAAATTGTGCATACAGTTAAAAAAAGGGAATCACACAGAAAAATTGAAACTCACACAGGGAGCTAAAATCAATTCCACTGGCCATGCTGTTTTCATGGGGGCAGAGTCCATTAACTGCTATATACCAGACATAACAATGATTTGGGATGCCTTTAGTATTAATTACGTAACAATCTAATTCAAAAATTGAAAGAAGGTCGTTCCCTAACAAAAGCAGTATAGGGCCACTCCTGTGATAATTCTGATATGATCAAACTAACATATGTACTGTTTTTTTTCCGTTACCTTAACTCAAAAGTGACCTATGCCTACACCAATTACCCCAAAATTCTATCACCTCTCCCAGAAAAATTCATCCACTTACAGCCTCATCATCACTAAAATCATGATCCTTCCACATGCATGCACCAACATGAAAAACTATATCATGCACCTGGAAATCTGTCGAAGTTTGAGCACACACAATATATAATGTCTAGGCGTGAAAACAATCAAATAATGAGCCTCACCAACTTTTTCAAATTGCCTGACACGGTCCTTAATTTGTGATACTGATAGTGGAGGTTTGTCAGCATTGACTGCTGATATTTCGAAACAGGGATACCCATTGCCACAAATGCTACATAAAAAAGAGAAAACAATGAGGAGTATTGTATTTTTACCCACATTTACATGAATGCCACATATCCATAAACCACATACCATCTACAGAATGTACAAAGCTAAAATAAATCTCTACAGCATGAGTGGTATGGAAATTTATTTAAAGTGAACTGAGCATGCCTTAAATTTACATTTATAACTACAGATTCATGTACCTAGTAGCAACTTCCAACAGCTTGAGGTGACCGTCATGCAATGGATTAAATGAACCAGAAAGTATTATCTTTCTCTCTGCAGTTGATGTATGATTCTCTGCAAACAGGTAGTTTAGAAACTAAACGATTGACAAGATTTACTGCAAGATTTATTCCATCAAAGAACTAATCATACCACTTGAAAATGGATAAACCTTAAAGCATATTTTCCCATCTATAAGTTGTTCCAATTCTTGATCTTCACTGAAGTGTGTTTCATGCTCATCAGACATGTCAGATTCAGTCAAATGAGAAACAGAAGCTGCCTGGACTTTGCATGCATTTGCAATAGCCTGTAAACAAAAGGAGGGGAAAAACACTAACAAACATTAATCAAGAAATGATAAAATTGGATCAATCAGAAGCATATCGCAATTTGCAAATACATGCAGTCAAACAAGGTGAAAGGATTGCTCAATGCATCTTGTGCACCAAGACTCTTTTATCTCACCAACTTTGAGATCTTGAAAGTTCATGCAACCTTTTACAAAACAATACACATAAGATATAAAAGATGTAACTTTCATGATTTTCAGTGGAAGCATAATATCTTCTTTCTTTTCTTTCTACTGACTGGAAACATATAATTGAACAATGAAACTTAGTGTCTGCCACACACCTTCAGTAAGAGATAACTTGAAATTGTATCTTCTTGCTCCCGAGTTCGCAAACCCTAAGTTAAATCAGCACAACAAAATACTTTCAAAAGCACAACACCAGAAATTTAATTTAAAAAAAAAAAAACATCACTACCTTAGACAAAGTAACCGTAGATACTGAAAGTCGATCAGACGTTCTTGTTGACAAGTAAAACCTACAGGCAACAGAAACAAAAAGTTAAGCAGTAAACCAGAATGTTGCAAATCAAAAGAATTTCTACCAGACAGAATTTCAAAAAAAGAAACCTGTGATCCCCAAGTTTCGGACGTAAGCTAGCTAAAGATCCAGTAAAACCCACACCAACAACAGGAGAACCTATCAATTCAACAGATGAAGAGGGGCCACTTTAATTTCTAAATTCAAATAATTATAATCCGCAAGTACTACAAAATGATAATTAGTGACCTGGACTGGAAAGCTTAAGACCACGATTGTAAGCTAATAGAGCCATTTCCTCTGCAGTTTGTTGACTACAATGTTGACTAGGAATCTGAAAAAAAAAAAAAAAAAAAGCTCAAAACAAAAAATTATAAATTCTTAAAGGCAGTACAAAAAATAATAATTACCTTGCCAAGTAATTGAATAAAGGACATTCTAGAGTAAGGAACAACAGCTTCAAGCACTGTATTAGAAGCTCCAGGTACTGTGATCAACCATCCTAGCGCCTAAGATTATCACACCAAAATTTAAACGGCTTTCTTAATTATTATTATTATTATGAAGTAGCGCTGTGACAAGGAGAAGAGAGAGAAGGACGGACCTGAGACGCACCACCGGCGAGATAAAGGACAGCCTGAGTAGGGGCAGAATGTATGGCTTCCACTATACCTCGAATCCACGCGTCCGTCATTATCGTCTTCTCCACGCTGATCGATCCTTTCCCTTCTCTAAAAAGTGACGTTTTTCTTTTTTAATTGTATGCCAATACAGCCCAACCATAGGCCCAGTACTCTCCGTTAGATAAAAGTGAATGAATGGCGTTTGTATCGCGTGAAATATTTTGAAGGAGTTATTGGTCAAATATGAAATATTCTACAATCAGTCAATAAATTTAAATTTATTGATTAAACAAAAATTTTTAAGTTTGTGAAGTCTTATAAAATATTTTATTATCAATAATCAACTCATAATATTATCTAATTATTTTAATTATCATCACTTTAATATTACTATACCTAAAATAATCGCATCATGTTGTTATTATCATTACAATTACAATCTCTCTTTTTGTTAAATATTGTAAAAAAAAACACCAATTAAAAAGAGAGGGAGTGAATTACTCTTTTCGTTTCCTTTTTTCCCCTTATCAAAGCACATAAGTAATGCTTTTCTTTTATTTATTAAGACTAAAATCGAATATCCTCAAGCTAGCAATCCCAGTGAAAAGTGAAAGCTTCAGATTTTCACTTCCAACATTAAGAGGAGCTATAACGCCCTCAAAATTTGAAATAAAAATCATATTAGTCCTAGCCTTTCAAAAAAAATTTAAATTTACCTTTGAATTTAAGGCATATTTCCGAATTATATCTACATTTGTACCTAAAAAAATTAATGACTATTCTATAGCCATCATTGGTTCATTTTATTTTTAAATGTATTCTAATAACTTTGGTTGTGGCACCCATTTCTAAATTACTTTCACCGTGTAGGGATTGAAAGTAAATGTGGAAAATAAGAAGAAAAAAACTGAATCTAACAATTTGGAGAAAATTTCAAACCCATCCCACTGTATCTGCATTTTTGAAGCAATTAAAATGACATTTACAGATCTCGTCATCCCCTTGATAATTAAAAAAAAAAACCAACCTCGTTGGCCCTAATATATTTTTATATATAAAGAGGAACAAGGCGACATGACAGAAAACAAAGAATAATAAGAAATGGCAACCTGGCAATAATCTTACAAAAAAACAGAGAAAAAAAAATGCTCCCCTCCCCGTTGTATCTGTCTGTGTTCCAAGTACAGGTATTTTATTACGTATCGCATCGCAGCACCAAAGGGGCTCGCATTTGAAAAAAATGCATGGTAATCAAAGTGTTAAGGCACTGTACTACTACACGGATATAATATATATATATATATATATATATACATAAAGAATGGTTACGATCCTTCCGACTGGACTGTAGACCATAAGGAACTCGTGCCTTTATTTTATTTTTCTTTGATCAAGAAGAAATTTTAATACAGATTAATTTTTCTAACATGTATTTTAAAGACACAAGTTAATAATTTACATAAATGTAATGATTTAATTTTTATAATCAACAATATTAATTAAACTAAAACTTAAGAGTTTACTTGATTATGAAAATAATTTAATTAATTATTTAAGAGAAACTTTTTAATTATATCAATTAAAGTATGAACTTATTTAAATAACCCATATATTTAATATACCTCTGTGATTACATTTTCTGCAAATTGGTTGGCTCCAAGGGATGAAATTGGCACCCTCTCTATTGATAATTGAAATTACCAATTAGGGCATTCTTGAGCGTTATGGGTTGAACAGGCACTTCTTGCCCTCTACTAAACCTCTTGTTTTTCCATAATACAAATACATTATTGAGCACAACAGAGGCCCCTCCGTGTGTCTCTGTATGCTAACAAAGGGAGACGTCAATTGTTGTTAATGAGCTAAAAGAACCTCAAATTAATGGTCGGTCGTGATGTTAATTTCTTCAGGGAATATCTTTTCAAGTGCGGTTCATCGTATTTAACAATGTATCATATGATTTGCATTTTCTGCAAGTTTAAATCTCCTGGGACCGTGGTCCAGACAAATATGCTGGCCCAGTATTGATGACTGACAGCTACTTTTTCTCATAATACAACAATGCTTCATCTATACTCAGAAATTACAAGTAGCTCACAGGGAGGTCTCATTTTATGTGCAACTATAATAAAAGAGGAACCTTTTCTCCACCACCTCCTCTATTCTACGAAAGTGTTCCAAAGTCTACAGTGGGGCTCGCCTAACGGCTATTTCATTTATCATATCTCAATTTATCTCCATAATTTGCTCATGGAAGGATATAGAATTGATCCCTCTGCATTTACATGCATTCGCTCACGAGGTGTACTTAGCCAGCAGGGTCCCTCCAATGAAGAAAGAAAGAATGAAAGAAAGTCAGGACCATCTGTTTTTATGATTAAAATCAGGCTATGCTACTCTTAACGGACAAGCTTCCAGCTATTGGAAATGGGATTGGTACTGAATCCTAGTGAATTTTTATTGTATAATATGAGCATTGTTGGGTTCAAAGTGACCATAATCATGGCTTCTGTCTCCTTAACGACTTGTAACCAATGTGGGATTATCATGACTGTCCAATCCATTGCCTCTGTCAGTTTCAATCTTAACCATTGATAGTTTGATATGTGCATATCTTTTCACTAAAAAATGGGCCTGGCTAGGCTCTTTGCATGCCCCAAGCAATGTAGATAATGTAGAACTTTCATGAAGAAAGATTCACTCCTGTCTTATTTCTTCAAGAATTGTAGATTCACTTTTCCATAATTTGGTCTCATACTCTTCTGTACTGTAATTAATGATGGATATATCAATTCTAAATCCATAAAGTGACCAGGAATTCAATTCATATATATATATATATATATATATATATATATATATAGTGCTACATGACATAAGTGATGTCAAAAAAATAATCATCATAATTTTATAAGGATAATGTTTTTTTAAAAAATACAATGAATAATACTTTATTTCAATACGTATTATGTCATTTAATGTTTTAACTTTTTAAATTTACTTCTAAATCCTTTCTATTTTTGAAAATGTTATCATCAAACATTTTCTATATATATATATATATATATATATATAAAGATACTCTATATATAAAATATGATGTCCATCATTGCTCAAACAAATAATTTGTTGCGCTTTAAAATAACAAGAAAAAAATGGAAACATAAAATTAAATGCTTTCTACTGTTTATTTTTTAATCAGATAAATAACTATTTCTTTCATTTAATAAAAAAAATTAGTAGATTCAATAACAAAATAACAAAAGATTAATTTAGGTCTTAAAACTTGAAATATTCTACAGGATTAGAAAAAAAAATAGTAAAATGCCTTCCACGATTCTTTGCGGAAAAAAATCTCATTAAAAACATAAATTTGTCAATCACTTTAAACCTTTTATAAACGTCCGGAAATATGTTGGCCTTAACGCAAAGAGAAGGCTAGATAGGACTTCACCCAAAATTAAAACAAGAAAAATATAAAGGAATCTCCCCAAAAAGCAAAAAATGAAGAAACCTTACTGTTACTGCCCCTTGGATATTACTCTTCAGTCCTTGCATTAGTTTTCTATTCAGTGTGAATAGTCTCAACCACTTTTTCTTTTTCCCTTTCTTTTTTCCTTTTCATTTCTCACCAAAATTATCTATCTTCCCAAGGTCTAGTCTATGCTGCCGAAACAACCTTTACCATTCTTCAACACTCTCTCTCGTCTTTCACACTCACACTCCCTTGTCTCTGTCTGTCTCTCTCTCTCTTTCTCTCACACTGAGTGAGGGAGCCTCCATTGCCTCTTTCAAGCTTTTCTTCATTCTCACTTGGTTTTCTGCTACTGAAAGGTAAGCCCTCTTACCTTTAAAGCCTCAGCTTTGCATTTTGCACCCTTCAACCGTCACTTTCTTTATAGACATGTTTTCTTTGATTCTGCTGGTATTTGTTCTCTTTAACTCTCATAATCTAGTGAGCTGTTTGAATATTGAAGGGTATGCACTTTTGTCATTTAAGCAGTCCATTAAGGAAGACCCAGAAGGGTCTTTGAGTAGCTGGAACTCGTCTGATGATAACCCTTGTTCATGGAATGGGGTTACATGCAAGGACTTTAAAGTTATGTCTGTCAGCATTCCAAAGAAGAAACTTTATGGGTTTCTTCCTTCTGATCTTGGGTCACTCTCTGACCTTAGACATGTAAATTTGAGGAATAATAGGTTCTTTGGTAGTTTGCCTGCTGAGCTCTTTCAAGCTCAAGGACTACAAAGTTTGGTCCTCTATGGGAATTCCTTATCTGGGTCTTTGCCAAATCAGATTAGCAAGCTTAAGTACCTTCAAACCTTGGATTTATCCCAGAATTTCTTCAATGGGTCAATACCCCTATCAATTGTTCAATGCAAGAGACTTAAGGCCCTTGATCTTAGCCAAAACAATTTCACCGGTTCTTTGCCAGTTGGGTTTGGTACTAGTTTGGTCTCTCTTGAAAAACTTGATCTTTCATTCAATAAATTCAATGGTGCAATTCCTAGTGATATGGGAAATTTGTCTAGCTTACAAGGAACTGCTGACTTGTCACACAATCTCTTTACTGGTTCAATCCCAGGTAGCCTTGGAAACCTTCCTGAGAAGGTTTATATTGATCTAACTTATAACAATTTGAGTGGTCCAATACCTCAAAATGGTGCTCTAATGAACAGAGGACCAACAGCATTTATTGGAAATCCTGGTCTATGTGGTCCTCCGTTGAAAAATCCATGTTCTTCAGGTACGGCTGCTGCAAGTGCACCTTCATCAATCCCTTTTTTGCCTAATAACTCCGCCCCTCAAGGTTCATATAACAGTAGCAGAAAGACTGAGAAAGGAAGAGGACTGAGTAAGAGTGCTGTTGTTGCGATAATTGTTAGTGATGTCATTGGAATTTGCCTTGTTGGATTGTTGTTTTCGTATTGTTATTCAAGGATTTGTCCACGTAGAAAGGATAAGGATGAAAATTGTTATGGTTTTGACAAGGGAGGGAAGAGAAGGAGAGAGTGCTTGTGCTTTAGGAAGGATGAGTCTGAGACTCTATCGGAGAACGTGGAGCAGTATGATCTTGTGCCACTGGATGCGCAGGTGGCTTTTGATTTGGATGAGTTGCTTAAGGCATCGGCTTTTGTTTTAGGAAAGAGTGGTATTGGGATTGTTTACAAAGTTGTGCTTGAAGATGGGCATACTTTAGCTGTGAGAAGATTGGGCGAGGGAGGCTCGCAACGATTTAAGGAATTCCAAACAGAAGTGGAAGCAATTGGCAAGCTAAGGCATCCTAATATTGTAACTCTCAGGGCTTATTACTGGTCTGTTGATGAGAAGTTGCTCATCTATGATTACATACCAAATGGGAGTCTTGCCACAGCACTTCATGGTAAGTTTCAGAAACCATCTTGCCAACAGAGCAAATTTCTCTGCCTCATTTCCCTTAATTGATAATGGTTATTTTGTTTCCTCAAGCAGTATTTTATTTGTTGGTTTTATTGTTTTTGTTAGTTTGAATGTTTTGATTCTCTAATGTCAATAGGGAAGCCTGGAATGGTGTCATTTACCCCATTATCATGGTCTGTTCGGTTGAAAATCATAAAGGGAATTGCGAAAGGCTTGGTTTATCTTCACGAATTCAGCCCTAAAAAATATGTTCATGGAGATCTGAAACCAAGTAATGTACTTCTTGGACAGAAAATGGAACCACACATTTCTGATTTTGGACTTGGGCGACTTGCTACTATTGCTGGAGGGTCCCCAACCCTGGAATCTAATCGAATTGCCTCTGAGAAACCACAAGAGAGGCAGCAAAAGGGTGCGGCAAGCTCAGAAGTTGCTACAGTTTCATCTACAAACCTGGGATCTTATTACCAGGCTCCTGAAGCACTAAAAGTTTTGAAACCGTCACAGAAATGGGATGTTTACTCTTATGGAGTTATCTTGCTAGAAATGATCACAGGAAGGTCGCCAGTGCTCCATGTCGGTACCTCTGAGATGGATCTCGTTCACTGGATTCAGCTTTGCATTGCAGAGCAGAAACCACTTGCAGATGTCTTAGACCCCTATTTAGCTCCAGATGTGGACAAGGAAGAAGAGATTATTGCAGTTTTGAAGATTGCAATGGCTTGTGTTCATAGCAGCCCTGAAAGGAGGCCTACAATGAGGCATGTCTCTGATGTTTTTAACAGATTGGTCGTATCCTCTGACTAAGTAATCTAACTGAACTGTGGATCCAATGCTCAAGTTATTCTCGAAAATCATCAGTTACATTGATAAGGGATTTCAAAGATATTTGTATTCGGCTCTTTCGGTGAAAACATGTACCTCTATTAAATTCATTGTAGCAGTGTGAAGAGGAACGATGACATCTGTGTAATTTACGTCTTTGTTCATGTTAGGATGCTGTCCTTTGGTGTTGCGTGATGACTAGGTGCAGTTAGGTCTGCTATAAGAGCACGCTAGCAACTGGGTTTTGTATGAGTTGCCTTGTTAGTATATGTAAAAGGATGTCGTCTTCTTGCTTTTATTGCAGACACTTTGTCTCTTTCTTTGTTCTTTGTCGATGAATTTACCTATTTCTTCGCTATAGCTCTCCTGTGATGCCTACTTCGCTATAGCTCTCCTGTGGTACTAAAATTTACTGTTTAGCAATGCAATTTAGATAGATAAAATATTCCAGTCACGTGAAAGAAGAAAGATCTAGTGGCTGATAACTGAGTCCATATCCCTTGCAGATTGAGTTCCAAATGTATATGTCTCCTGATAATACCCTGCAAAGTAATCTAAACCTATTTTCAACCTTTCTGGCTGCCATTTTTTTCCCTAACAATTTGCAGTACATATCTAACTGGTCCCTTCCGCTCAAATCTCCATGCTTTATGGCATTATGATATTAAAGATTTCAGGGTAGTGTTTCCCAACTGTCTTGAGCTAAAAGCTGAAGCAATTAGAAATAGTAGGGTTTCCTAGTTACCAAACCATGTGACGCGAATATAGGGAGTGGAGTCCACTACTTATCGAAGCATCCCCAATTAATGAGAGAGTTCTTAGCTGTACTTTGGATTTGATTGGTCATAGATTTGTTAATCTTTTTATTAATTTTTTGACGTTAACAGAGATTCTTGTTGGAATGTCTTTGGTCAATTCACTCCAGCTAGGCTAGTTTATTAGGGTTCTTGCTTAATTGAGGTTTGACTGATCGCAGGGTTTTAATTTCTTGGCCACGGTGGGGAAGCAAGAATGGAGCAGTTTCTTTTTTATGAATAAATTTTGATAAGACATACAACTTTACAAGAATATTAGTCTTATTAGTCAAACACTGGTTTGTTGCATGAGCTACCCTGCACCTAGGGCAAAACTAAATTATTTTAATTTAATATCTTATGTTATATTATAAATTTATTAAAATATGTCGAATTAAATATTAAAAAAATTCATAAATTTTAAATAAAAATATTATATTTAATTAATTATTCTTTGTGTTTCTCATAAATAGTCAATTGAAAAAAATATATAATTTGTTATTTTGTAAGTATTGTTTTTTAAATAAGAATATGCAATAATCTGACTAGAAAATTATATGTAGAATTTTTTTTAAAAAAAGTTAATATATTTTTCATAAGATTGTATTAAAAAAAAAACAATAACTAATATAGAATCTTATTTAAAAATTAACAAATTAAAATATAATATTTTCTTCTTATTTAATGTTGATACAAAGATTTTTTTTAAAAAAAGGTACATTTAATATATATATAATTAAAATAATCAATAATATAGTATTAAAAACTATATTTGAATCATTAGGTGGTTCTTTTAAAATATTATTTTAATTATTTTATTCCAAAGAAACTAAATTTAAAGTATCTATTATAAAAAAAATTAATAATAAATGGTTGGTTTTATATGAGCATATGTATAGTTAATTTTTAATGAAATTGATAATTTTATTTTATTTTTTATACATCATGACTATACTTAGTAGGTTCAGAGTGTGTAGTATAAAAAAAATTATATATATAAGAAATACATTAAATAAATTTGAAGTTAACATACTGAAATAAAAAAAAATTCCTATAAAATTGACTTCGATAAATTTTCATTACATAAAGAAGAAGCAAATAACACATCTAAAATTCATTATTTTATTTTTTAATTCTAGACAAAGTATCTTAAATACATTTCCAATCTTTAGATTGTATATATATTGCTCTCATTTAAAAATCATATAAATTTATCATATAGATTATATTAACATATTAAAAAAAATAAAAATAATTACATTCTAAAATTTTATTCAAAAATTCATACATAGAGAAAAATAAATTTTATTTTTGTAACAAATAAAATTATATAATAAATAAATTAAAAAATTAATTGGATGTTTCAATAAATAAATAAAATAGCAAATTGAAGAAATCATCTGAAATTTTGAAAGCCAAAAAAAAAAAAAAAGAGAAGAAAGAAATGACAAATGGAAGCAAAAATATTTTTTAATCGCTAGATTGCATGAAAAAAAGGAATTATTTTTTCATAAATTTAGCGCAAAATTAATTAAAAAACAATTAAAAAATTGAGTATAATGGGCATAAAACATAGATTGCAAAAGAAATGATGAAAAAAAAATAAATCAAGCCAGGCCAGTGGAAGCAGGCCTGGCTGCCAGCATGTAAAAGAAAAGGAAAAAATGAGAGCAACGAACTGGGAAAACGAATTTTTGAATTTTTCAGTCTCAAAACTCAACTTGTTTATCGTTTTTTCCCCCAAAATACTTGAAAAACACCGAAATTATGTAAAAAAAAAAAAGTTTGAAACTTTAAAATTGATTATAATGCGCATAAAAAAATAAATTTAAAAACTTATAATATTTTAAGATCTCAATCTACTTCTTTTAATCATTTTATATCCTAAAAACACAATAAACAAACTTAACTATTCAAGATAAATAAATTGAATGAAATATCGTCAACCAAAGTGACCATAATAAGCTTAGTCTATTCTCTCTCTCTCTCCCTTCTTTGCATCTAGTGATCAAAATATGTAACAAATTAAATTAAGGATTAAAATAAAAATTTCAAAAATATTATGTAACTAGTCTATAATTGCATGAAAATAGTGAAACAAAAAAAAAAAAAAGGGGCGTTGAGTCAACGGTGACACTTAAATCTGTAGCTATAGTGAACTTAACAGTAACCCTCCAATATCTTAGTTTTTTTAAATAAAAAATATATATATGGTTTTTTTTCTAAGGTGCGTCGGACAGTAAGTAATTATTGTGCACAGATTTTTAACCGTCTCTAAGAAGCTTAATTTTTACCAATAAACAATTGGGGCGGGCTATGGTTGTGGTGATGTGCAATCTCAAGGATAATTTGGTTGGCTAAGATAAATTCGAGTATAAAAAATTGGATCTAATGGATGATCGATCAGTTCTTTTTAGGTCAATCTCGTCTCCTTTATCGTTTCCAGATTCTAGGAATTCTGTTACCTTCAACCCTAAAGCATTTATTCATGTTGTTGTATTGGCCAACTAGACGGAAGCAGGGAAAGACTGTAAGGGAATTATTTCCCACCCACCCTCCTCTAATTACATAGAACCATGGAATTGTGACCAGAACGACATTGACATCCTACCTATACTTCGAATACGCAACAAGAAAAACTAACTCATCCTAGGAAAAAAAACCGTGTGTGGTAGGAAAGAATTGTTTACGTAAAAATTCTAAAAAGAGGAGAGATTTCGATTTCCTTGTTGCTTTCCCTCTTTGTTGTTGAACCATATCAGCATTCCCTCTTTTTGGGTCAATCTCTTTTCTTTTTTTTTCAAAGAAAGATGCATAATCAAAATTGCTAGCCGGGAGAACAGCCAAAGAAATGGCAGAGCTGATTAAAAATTTACTCGAACTTTGTTCAATTGAAATCTTATTGGTAAAATGTATAAACAGAAGTAACCAATAGGTCTAAATAACTTGTCTGCAGACCATCTCTGCAGACTAGAAACATAATTAACGGCCAATCATTTGGCACCATCAAAACTGTTGTAATTGGTTTTACCACCAAACTCATCAATTTTTATTTTTATTTTTATTTTTTCTAACAAAGAATAATTAAGTCTAATTCTAAAAGCAGCAGTGTAAATTTAGGCATTGGAAGATTCAATTAAAGAAAGTGGAAAGTTAGCAATACCCAGATGTTGTTGAAGGTGAAAAGCGGCTGCAGAAGCCCTAAAGCGCTTTTCTGCACTACCATCACATCTACAAAGGCCTCCCTAGATCAGAGCAATCTGCCGCATCACGTGTCTCTAAAAAGATGCCCTCCACCCGGCCCACTAGTTCTTGACGAAACCTAACAAAGCCCAAAAAGGCTCTCAGGGTCACTAGCGCCTCGGATCAAACTTTTTTTTCTTTAATAAATCAGTACTACAAGTATATATGTTATTTCATTTGGGTCCAAAAATTTAAACTTGTACAATTCACTCTAAAGAAATGCTATCAGATTTATTTAATGTAATATCACCTCTCATCAAAATCGGTTGTTTATGCACTTTTTTTCACATGGTCCCCCAGTCGACTATATGCATTTTTTTTCGTATGTTAATGCTGGTTGTATGCATTTTTTTTTCTATGTTAATGCTAGCACGATTCCACTTCTCACATTTTTTTTGTGACCACTACAAAACTTATGCCTATTTTTTTTATTCTAAAAATGTGGAGGGCTTGAAACTCTCGATTTTAAAACCTATCCGTACTCATAAAAAATGGATGAAAGATAATCAATTCTCGAATTATCAAAAAAAGAAAAAAAGAGAAAAAGATCCAATAAATCACTTGTTTAATAACATTAAAAGCAACCACATTTATAATTCTAGTATTTATCAATAATGGATAATTTAAATGCTAATTTTTTGATAATTTTTTTTTCAAACTAGAGTATTTTTAAAACTTTTTAATTAAACAAAGGTATTTTTAATCTTATTTATCAAATCAAATTACTTTTTACTTGTACATGTCTTTTTGTGTTTAATTAATAATAATAATTAAATGTCCAAGAATAATTTTTAAATTTGATTACATGATACTTAAATGTTATCTTGTTTTCTGGTGTTGTTCCAGGCCATAATTCATGAATAAGTTTGAAGTAAATAATATTATTGGATTCAATTTTCTTTAGAAGAGAAATCATTTTTTTTTTTTTCAACCAGAAACATAAGGTGGATGTCACATAAAATTTCACTAAACCTTCTGTCAATCCACATCTTCTCGTCTGGAAAAAAGAAGAGAGCTAGTTGACTAAGTTTATGTCACTGTGTTTGTTGAAGGACCGAACCTGTAATTGAAACGATCAAAATTGCCCCTAAAATTCAAAATATCTATAACTATGGTACCAAAGTTAGAATCGAGAAGGTTCTACGTAGGTTATTCATCTTCCAGATTATATTTTTGTACTCCGTTTGGGAAGACCGTGTATGCTTGGTCTGAATAAAACACATTTTTTATCAACAAAAATCTGTTAACCAATATTCCAAGCGAATCTTTGAAAGAAAGTTTGGAACATGTTGCCCAATCAATTACTAATAGGTTATGCTGAGACAATGAAAGAGTCCATAGGCAATCTCTCTTTTTTATTTCTATTTTTCGAATCAAGAAGTCCATGGACAATCTTTGAAACTGTGCTAATTGTTTGATAATTTTTTTAAAAAAGAAATTTATTAGCTTGTTTCAGGTGTTTTAACCTTTTAGGAATATAGAGTATTTATGGTGCTCCAGAATATAGGTTAGAGGAATCCAATTTATGTTTTTAGGGTGATTTGCATGGTTGTGGTACAGCTAGCTATCCAATTATTGTGGTACTCTTAAAACAAACTGCAAAGTTTTAGAATTTTATGATTTTCCCGGTATTAAATTTTTCATTTAGATTTCACAAGTTGGTGGACTGAAAATGGTGAATTGTGAAGGGAAGATTCCCAAGTCATGAATTTATGGTTTCTTATTTCTTGTTGAGAAGTTCATTGGTAGATTTATGATATAAAAAAAGTTCATTTTTATGGACAAAATACTTCCAATACTGAGGCAACACAACATTCAAACATGGGACGAAGTGATCTTCAAGTTGTCCATCCAAGCAACAGAGAATGTTCTGCAACCTCATAAAAACAGCATCATATGCTAACTGCTATAGAACATATGCTAGTAATTAGAAATTAATCGACTCAGTTGGTTTGAAACATGAGATATACTGGCTAGTATCCTGATACAAATGTCATCTTTCATTCCTTTTTTGGGCTTCAAAATTAACGATTCAGTTTTGCCTTGTAGTCATGGCAATTCAAAGAAATGCCTAGAAAGGCATGATGACAGGAGAACAATTCAGGAGAAGGCTGGAGAATATGGAAGAAGAGATTCACTTTTTCGTGCAATCCTTAGCCGCTTGACGCTTTCTACAAACTCCCTGTCAAAATTTTTTAAGAAAGAATGACTTGCCAAACCATTGAATCTAATGCAGAGAAAAACATGCGTAGATAACAGTGAATTAAGAACCTACTTCCAAGGAACGTCACCAACGGTCCTCCAATTCTCCTCTCTGTCCTTATAAAACAGGCAGAATTCCGACCCTTCCTGGAACAGCCTTAGCCCAGATGCAGATTGTCTTCCTGAAACAATGAAGCTTAATCATGTCATTTTGATTTTAAAGAGAAAGGGGCCAAAAAAAAAAAAAAAAGATCAAACTTCCAACGTCTTTTTTGGTACCCACCAAACATGTCTTCGAGTTGAAGTGCAAGGCTTGAGTAACCACCATGATCTAGCATGCATATTTTCCTGCCAACAATCACCCCATCCATGTTTGCCTTCACATAAGCCCACCTCTCTTTGCTCTGGACTCCCTCTGTCTCCTCGTCACAATCCTGCGGTGTAAACCTATGGTATCCTGAAGTTGAGTGTTTTAGTGGTGAGTTTGCCTGAGGCCAGTCCATCAGGTCGCCATATCCGTCCAAGTCCAGGCTTACCTCTGAAACTTGTACAATTAATAAACTCCAGCTAGAAAATTCAGATTATGGGTATCAAAAATAGCAGACAACTCGGTTGCTTCTTGTGGCTCAAGCTTCAAATGAAATTCACTTAGCTAATCAACAAACATTTTACATTATCCTAATTGATTTGTGTTAAGAAATCCAGTGAATGAGTGCATTCGCAATCAATTACCTCGTATTAACATGACACTAACAATGCAACTGGAAATTCTTATTTAAATACATGCAAATACTAATGTTGTGCCCTTTGTACTTTGTAGCTGCCCTAGGACATTTTGCAAGGTTGCTACCATTTTCCTTCTTCTAGTTAGCTTCCTTGACAACTGACAAACTGCAACAATTAGTAGTCAGATCTTATCGCTATTAAGTACAGACATAAGAATCATTTACGATCCTCATTCTTTCATGTAGGCTTTCCACAGTAATGAACGGTTCTTTCTCCTTTCTCCTATGCTAACTTCTTTGTTTTTTGGGCAGTTTTTATAGTCACAGACTCACAACTAGTTATGAGTTAGTACAGCTTTACAGAGTTTTCATCTATTCCTTGATGTTTCCCCGATTATTTCATGATTTACCAAAATCTTTTCCCCACAAATACCACTTGTAAACCAAAGCATGTCACTGTAACACTAACTTCATGAATGAACTTTTTACCTGATAACTGCTATATGGAAATTTAAACAAAAATTAAAGAAAGGAATAAGGGACATACGATGTACTGATGGATGATAAGCTTCAGGTTGCAAAGTTCTGAGACTGAGACCCAGATCAATAATACCATCATCTTCCCTAGGCTGATAGTAAGTGGAGTGAAAAGCTGGAGGGTTTAGAAGGAAGCCTGATGCATTAGAATCCATTGGATTGATATTGCAGGATTAATGACTAGAACGAAAGCTGGTAGTTAAAACTTAGAAGTGTGTTGCTTTTTACCGGGTAGGAGAACCTATTTATACACTGAATTCTGCAATGAGAATTAAAAGTAGAAGTGGGGGCCAAGCAAGTAGACAAGCAAGTTTTCTCCCATTATTGATCATTGGGTGGTGCTTATCTTCTTGTGCTACTCTGATACTACCAACATGCAAGTACACAAGGAAGTTACTAAAAAACAGAAAAACAAGGGATGGCCTAAGTGATTGTAACAAAAGTTGGTTTGGATTCTGTAACCCAACATTACAACAATGGTTCTGCTTTTCAGGTTGGAAAACCGACAGTGAGCAACCAGTCAGTGAATGATCACGATTAAACTGCTGGGACCAACGCACAAATATGATATTATGTTATATATTTCTTTCTCTTAAATCCATTACAGATTTCTTAAAACTTGGAAACTTAAGCTATATCTTGAGTTTTCGACAGCTATCAGCATACCATGCCTTTGTGCACATTGTTCCAGGAGTAGTGGTTGCAATAATAGAAATCAGCACTTCATTTTATGATCCTGTGGCTGCACAGAAAGAAAAGTAGTGTCTCGGTTCAGGGAAAATGTAATCCTGTAGAGATATGGTTTTGGTTTATGTTTCAGTTCTTGCTTTTAATTTTCTAGTTGGTCAGTCTCTCTCAAATGACGGTACAATTACTCTTGGGGGGGACAATGATCTGATCGTCGCCCCTGATCCCACTCTGCCTTGCCCTTACAGGACATTGCTGTATGGATGAAACCTGCTTGCCAACATTGGATTCCTTTGAATTAGATTGGAAGAAAGGGATTGTCGTTGAATTAGAAGAATCACATAACCTCATTGTTCTTTGGAATACGAAGGATTATCACTTCCTCATACTATTAGCAAAACTCGAGCTCTGACTCCTACTCAGGACTGTAAACGAGCCATGTTTAAGTTGAAGAGAAGTATGCTCAAGGTTCACAAATCAGGAATCTGAATTCACAAGTCTCAGTTTACGGCAAGATGGTCTTCCCAGCTTTTTAGTCAAAGCACCATTAGTCTTGGAACAAAAAAAATTTCGAATTTATTCACCAGAATGTACAAGGCCGATGTAGAGATAGGAAAGTGATTTAGTTTCAATTGATTCGAAATTTGACCCGACGATTATCTTGACTATCAAACCAAAAAGAAAATTTAGTCTCGAATGCCTAGTGACGATGATTGGCAGTCTTCTAATGTAATTTGGCAGATGGTTTGGCAGTGCAATGATCCTGAGCATGTATGTGTCTTCCTTTAGCTAATAGCTCATGGTAAAATTCTTACAAATGAGTAGAGAGTCAATCGTCATTTAATTGATAACGACATTTGTACTATTTGTAATTCTGCCAAAGAAATAGTCTTACATGTTTTAAGAGACTGTCTGCAAGCCAGTCTAGCCTGAATGGGTTGCCGTGAGAATTATGTTATCCCCAATTTTTATGTGGATAACATTCATGATTGGTTAATCCAAAACCTTGCTTGTATCAGGGTTATGGCCTGTGGAATATCTTGCGACATTTGATTTGGTATGACTTGCTGGAGATTATGGATTTGGCGAAATGGGACCATTTTTAACCATGAGGCAAGTATTCCTATTGATCCTCTAATTTGCATTAGAGCTTATGCTATTGAGATCGTGGCTTGTAATAAAGTTCCTTCTACTCTCAGACCTTCTGTTGTTAAAACGAAGGAGGTATTTATTGGATGGAGTTTCCATCAGTTGGATTTGTTAAACTCACAATGAATGGTTTTATGGTTAATACTGCTGGGTTTGCTTTAACAGGAGGGTGCTGCGTGATTTTCAGGAACTTGACTTCATTGTTTTGCCGACAATATGGGTACATATTTAGTTTTAAATATTGAGCTCTGGGGTATTTTAACTGGTCTTGAACTTGCTTGGAATGAAGACTAAAGGAAAGTGAAACTTGAAATTAACTCAAATTTGACTATAGATTTATTAGCCAAGAATGATTTGGCATCATCTTTATGCAGTCAATTAGCACACTCTTTTTTTTTTTTTTGCAACGTCATTGGTATGTCCATCTTCACCACATCTATCATGAGGAAAACTTATATGCGAATTGGTTAGCCAACTATACTCGTTCTTTAGAGATTAAAGTCTATTTTCTTAGAGAGGCTCCTTAATTGTAGTTGTGTAAAACTTTATTGGATGACATTTATGGAATTACATTTCCTCGAATGATTCATTTATAATTCCTTACGACTTTAGCCCTTCTAATAATATTTTTTTTGCCAACAAACAGGTTTGTGTAGCAATAAATGAGCTCCTCGTAGAGCTCTCACCTATGAGGTTGAGAGTTTGAATCTCATATATTGTAGCCTATAGTTGGCGGCATATATACATCCCCATACATAATCGTAACTAATCTAAAAAAGACTCTAAGATTCAGTTTTGGCATAGATGCAATAAGGGTCCTTCAAGTTAAAAAAGTAATGTGATACGGGTGCAATTTTTTCTGTCGAAGAGAGGGGGATAGCCAACCTATCTTTTTACTTTATGAACAAAATATATATATATATATATATATATATGGCTCCATCTATTTTTTTGCTTTTAATCAAATTCCTGGACTAATTCTTTTTCAATTCTATTCATAGGTTTACATAACTATACACCTAGAATTCAAATGATTGTTGATGCATACACATAAACAAAATAAAGATATAAATGCATTGTTCTTTTTAATTAATCTAAGAATTAATTTTTAAGACAAAAATTTTTTTTTAATGATATGTTCAAAAAAACTATAAATCATATATAGAATCCTAAAAAAATTAACACAAGAACTTGATTTGAAAAAAATATATATATGACAAGGTGATAATCTTTGAATTATGATTGTTAATGAGATGGATTCCAACATAAATTCATCGTACAATGGTTATGGCATAATGGATATTGATTCGGTGGCTAGTACTTATAGAGAAACTTCTCTAATGGCTAAATTAGCTTATGGAGAGAGGTGTTTAGCTCTGAATAGATTGTAAGAGATTAGCTCTTCTATATAAGAGATAATTGATATTATAGCTATTTTGAGCTTAGGAAACAAAACTTGTAATATTTGACTTGTTAGCCTTTATATAGGTGTGATCAACTTGCATGGGGTGGAGGTTAAAATAGTTTTTTCTTTACGTTTAATAGTTCTTGACATCCATTTGAGGGTTTAGAACTCTTTTAGGAAGTGGTCATTGTCTAATAGTTATAGTTGGTAATGATGCAACGGAGACGTTCTAAAAAGTCACATGTTTATTAAATAAATTTCCTTTTTATCTACCTAATGGGTTGAAAGGTATCTTTTTTATTAGGGTCATTTGTTTGTATTGATTGGTCGGGTCTTAGTCGATCATGGTGGCCACTAGCGACTAGACGAGATTATTTTGTTTGAGGCAAATTCTTGATTAGGTGATCTTTAAATAGAGCATGAAGACATGTTTTATCATTACGATCATGTAAGTATATTAGTCATCCCCATGAGTTTTTGGTAAGTGTACTTAGTGAAAACTCGATTTATGTTTAGGCTTTTTGAGAAGACATTTAGCAATGTATATGGGAGCTAAAAATTTCTTATCTTTTTTAGATTTGACCTTAGTGGGTGTATAAAAAACTCATTTAATAGCTGTAACTTTGATAAATGTGCAACTATATGAAAAAATCAAACTCTTACGTGAGAGCATCTAAGAGAATTAAAGAGCTTAGACCCTCTGGAGTCTTTCATGTTTATTAAATGGCCACCTCGGCTACCCCGTGAAACTAATGTCGACTTATGATTGGTTTATGTTGGATTGGGCTTTTTCACTAGACTTGGACTCTCAAGTATTCAATATAAAATTTTCTTACTTTTTGCCTATAAATAGATGATGGTGTCCTTATATTTTTACCCCTTTTTGTTTTACTACCGTAATGCACTTTTAGAGAGTTAGTAGAGATTACCGAGTGGATTGGTAGTTTCTTGGAGACTCTTGAAGAGATTATAATTGTAAGGACATTTCTAGACGAATCCTTCTATTTAATCGTGAGAAGTTTGGGTGAACCGACACTTTTGAGTGATAATATATTTTGTCGTGGAGTTAACTATTTTTTTGCATGTCATTAGAGTTCGGTAGGTATATTTCTTCTTCTTTTTTCTTCATTTAGTATCTACATGAAAATGGTACATTTAGTAAGAGTGATACATGTATCTAGGATTGTTTCTAATAATAAGGGAGCGAACCCTAATATAGGCATGATGATCCTTTTTTAGAGTACACGAGAGGTTTGTTTAATCTATTACAGAGGAGAGTCCTAGTAGGGTTTTTAGGAAAAATGTAGTTGTCTTTTTTTGTTAGGATGGGATTACCTTACGGTTAACGTAAGCGATAGAATGAAGAGGCCTATAACTAGAGCCATAAATGGAAAGATTAAGATAATTATTTATGCTTGTATGATTGAGTACAACTATAAATTTTCTCTATTTGGATATATAGTGAAGGTTTTTTTAGCATTTTGATATAAGTCTTTGTTAGTTTCATTCAAATAGATAGAGCATTCTTGCTATCTTTGATAATTTCTATCGGCGATTCAGATTACCCCATCTTTAAGGCTTTTTTGGTATTTTCATTTCTTAGTAGAGGATAGTGAATAAGGGAACGAGAGACTATGTATGTATACTTTTCTAGTCATAAAGACAATCGGTCTATTAAAAAGAATATTTGTGGGGCTTGCTTGACTTGGCCATAATTAGAGAAATGATCAATTTATTATTAGTTATAGGTGCCTACATCCATGGGTGAAGGTTGATCAATCTGGAAATGTATCCTTCTTAAGAAGGCCCAAAGATGGTTATAATGCCATTCGACCAAGTTTAATGTTGACTTGGCATTTTAGGAGCAAATGAGAAGTACGAGTGGCAAGTATCAAGTCAATCTTCTTGCTAGAA